CACACACACACACACACACACACACACACACACACACACACACACACACACACACACACACACACACACACACACACACACACACACACACACACACACACAACTATCTTGTGCGAACGAGAAAGTATCTTGTACGAACAAATTAATAAAGCGTGGCCTCGTTTTATTTAAATTGAGGCCACGAATTACATCTTGTGCGCACAAATTAATAAAACGTGGCCTCGTTTTATTAATTTTTCTCTCTATGAACCCTCTAGGGCTCCGTAGAATCAGAATCAGGTTTATTACCAGGTAGGTTTACACGTACGAGGAATTTGACTTGGTGTCGTGGTGCATAAAAAGAATAATTAAAAACACAAATAAAAAATATTTTAAATAATAAAAAATATAGTACACTATAACAGTATTTTCATTGCAATGGAAGGGAATAAGAAGGAATAAAATATGGAATTAAAATCGGCAGTAATACAAAATATTGTTGTACATTGTGTGCATTGATGTAATGCATTTTCTCTGTTTATCCAATCTTACGTGGGCAGCTCTTGACGCAGGTGGCCCCAAAGTTGTACTTCCCATGTGGGTTGGGTACCAGCTGGTGCAGGTTGGGGTCGTAGCGCATGAGGCCTGGGCAGGAGTCTTTACACACCCCATCGTCCTGGAAGTCCCGACAGGCCTGCAGCACAAACAAGAGTCATCCAGTACACAGGGACCATAACAGAGCCTCTCTCTAATGATAACACTGCATTCCTCCACAGCCACATCTTAATCCTCAGAGCTGCACACAGAGAGAGAGAGCAGACTCGAGGCACTGCCAAATGAAAGATTTAATCAGCAGTTATGTGTCTCGTTGGTATTGGAACCAATAACAATATGTGTGATCATAAAAACAGATGAGTGAGGGCTTTGTTTGGTTGAACGTCTCTCATCCAGATTAATTGCAGGGGTATTAAAGACACTATTTTGTTGTTTAAGTTTGTATCTTCCCAATGTCCTTTATGATATCATTACGCTTGTGCCCCATTTGAAGGTGTCTTTCTCTCACCAGACAGTCGTTGGGCCGCGGTCCTGTGCAGCCCGCAGCACAATGCTCATTACAGCAGTCTCCGGGGGAAGGTCCTTTGCATCTCTTAGAGCACTGCTCTGCACAGTTCAGCTTTGTGACTGGAAATAAAACAGGACACAGTCATTGGAATTACGTGTAGCAAGTGTTCTTCTATTTATGTTTGATGTTGACATTCTGCATGTACAAGTTATGGCTAAAACAATAGAGAACGTTAGCTAACGTGTTCCTACTTGGTGTTGTTGGTTTGCAGGAAACATTTTAATAAATGACCAAGTAATATAAATCATTAAGACTCAGTGTTTCTCAAAAGTAGAGTATAGAAACATGGGAAACAGTTTGTAGTGATTCACCTCACCAAACATGTTTTTTCTAGGGTAAATAAATCACAAAATGATACTCACACGTCTGACAGTTTTGTATACCGGGTGCCCAGCATGAGCCATTAAGGCAGCTTGAGTCGCATCTGTTTTTGCCTTTATAAAAGCAAACCACAAGAAAGTGTTTAAAATGTGAACCTCACATCCTTCAACTTGTTTAATAATATACAAATAATTTCATGTAACACATTTCTGTGCAGTCTTTTGCCCTGCGCTGTGAATGTTTTACTTACTACAATAAGAAGGGCTGATGTCCGATGGCAGCACCATTTTGGGTTTGTTATCACCGTTGACAATGTCATACCACTTTATCGTTTCCAGATTGCAGGGCTGGTTATACAAAAACTTTACACCTCCTTTAAGAATTTCTACAAAAGAAAATGCCACGTTAATTTGATAAAAATACAGAATTTATTTGATTGATATTTTTACAGTAATTCTGTTTAAGAGGACTAAAGCAATGGAGAGGTGTACTGACCTGTGAGGCTGGTGAGAAGAAGCGTCTTGGTGGCGTTACCGGTAACCTTGTCATAATTGGAAAGAACAGCGAGGCCAAACGATCCCTCGTAGAGCGAATGACCGCGAATGATGCGCAGATTCTGCAGAGGAATCTCCTCCGCTGTGTTGAGGGCTATCAGCACATAGCCGCCCACTTCTTCAATTGACTGTGGAGAAATACAAATGGGAACCTTGTTGAAAATTGAAGTAGCTAAATTGCAAAGTCAAGGGTTCCCCAAGCATAGAATGAAAAATAAAAGTTAAAAACTGAACCTTGGTGAATGCTATTTCCTGTATTCTTATCAACCTTACAAAACAATATGGAACAATTGGTCATCCAAAATAATGGTGAAATACATTTATTACAAGTGTACGCATGAAACTACATTTAGTTTTATTGAATCGATGAGCAGTTTAGAGCAGTATGTATGTAGCTTAATAGTCAAAACCTAGGGCAAAGAGTGCCAGGAAATAAGTCAATTTTACTAACACTTATTGCAGTGAGTGTAAAGGAAATTGATGTGACTATCAGCAAAACAGCATTTTATTGATTCAAAGCTTCTCTGATCTGAGAAATGTATCAAACAAAAAATTGGGTCGACAAAAATAGGATTTAAAAAAGTGAGCAGGAAGCCCCTTCCCTACTAGGGAGCATTGGGACTACTGCATGATATCTGCTGACTGTAAGCTTTGTGTGTGTAAGCTTGTATGTGAGTGTGCTAGTCCCTTGCCAGTACAGTGTTCACAGCGTCATGAACACACTGAATAATCTGTCACTGCGGACTTACTTTCCACTGATTTTAATTATCTGTACTGAAGCGATAAGAGCAGTGAGCAGCCTGCAAAGATACAGGATAAATTGTCTTTCAAACTGGATTAAGACCACCAAAGAGATGATAGGAAACTTCTCCCATCTGTTATGTGCCTGTTTAGCCTCCACTGCTAACAGAGTACAGGCTTTACCATGAGAAAGGACAGGTTATGGTGACCCTCCATGTGGGTGATCTCCAGGTTTTCCAAGACGACAGTGCAGTTGCTGTAAGTCTTCACCATGTTCAGGTAGTGGTCCTCTTTGGAACCCAGGAGGTTTAAACGATTTGTGATGCCTTGGCATACTGCAGGAAAAGACAAAAACAAGTGGGAATTTGTTAGATTTATACAAATTATTCTTGAAACAGATACAAAATGGTTGTAAATCATCCACAAAGTCACACAAGCACTGCTTATGTAACACCCTGGCTCAATGTATGACTGTCTCAGTGTGTGTTTCTGTTTGTGTGTTTGGTCTGCACAGTCAGAACTTGGCTAACTTTCATGTGAAAATAACCGTTCTGGGTTTCATCTACAATAGGAATCAAATCTCACTAACAAAGCCAGTTCTGGCTCATGAGTCAAAGTGAGTTGGCTGTATTTATACTGGCAAAGGACGGGAGATTTCCACTTCTATGTGGCCAGTTAAAACAACCACTGCGACCAGCATCTCCGGGCCTATTGTGTCATTTCAGAGAAATTATTTGGTGTGTAACAGATTCCATGAGATGTGAGTTGGGGGAATTCTAGCTCTCTAAATCCCATAATTGATAACGGCCTTCAGCCGTGTCTTTTGCATATCTGATTTTAGGGCAAGTCCTATAAATGACTCTATAACAATTTAAGGCTTAAAACAAATGCTGATCCATGCACCTTCTTAAACTTTCAGTGCCAATAACAACAAAGCCATACAGATATTCACAGGAAAACAATTGTAGGCTGATAATCTGGCCTTATGCAATAAAGTGTTTGGATAAGGAAGACAGTATATTTGATAAGTGCAGGACACACACAAGAGGCTTCTTTTCCTCCTGCAGTCTTTAGAATGATAAATGCATGTATTAAGACAGAAACTCGTCTTCCTCTGTTCAGGAGTCTGAGCTGGTCAGACAGGTTCTGACTGGTGTAAAACAAAGAGTCAGCTGGGCGACGCCCCTCCAATAAACACATGCACTCATGCATGCAGACATACACATAATAGGCATATAATTGCTTTTTTTATTTTTTAAGTATTATGGGTTAAGCAATAGATGGGAAATAGGAAAATATTTGTCCTTCTGTTTATTAGAAAATAGTGGTGCTGGTGTAATTTCTCTCGGGTCACATTCCACAACGTGTCTGCTCTTGACTGCAAAGAAAGGCAAACATGTTCTCCAAACTGTGAAACGCACCTTCCCAAACTGTACATAACAGTTAGCTTAGATGCACTGATGTGTTTTCTGATTTGCCAATTGAAAAAAAAACGACATAACATCATCTTTTAGCTCAGTCAAACTAGTATCTGAAGACTATTTCTTGGCTTCTCCTCTTCCAAGGTGCATTTTTCTCATGTTGTTGTTTTGAATTCACACAAAACAACATCAATGTTGCACTTAATCAGTGAAAATGAAAAAACAAACATCTGTCTCCCGCCCTGCCTCTTCTTCCTCCTCATTAGTTTGTCCCTGAGGGATCTCCCTGGCAGGAACCCTGCAGTCCAGCAGCCGAACGCCACGGCAACCGAGGCAGACTAGCAAAGGCAAGCTGACCGTTTTAATTAGAGGAGCAATGTGAGATGTAATTAGCACCCTAATTATTACACAGAACGAGAAAACATACTGTAATAAACAAAAAGGTTGTCATGAGTGTGAAGCTGTGAATATGAATCAACCTGATTTGGACATTCTGAATGACAGTCTGCTAATAAGGATGCTGATAATGGTTAATAAGTGCGTTGTATCACCATAATACATGTACATATCAGTATCTATGGACATCTTCCAAGCTGCTTCCTGTCTGTTCTGTTAATATTTATGAAGAGCCATAAAAGCTGCAGGTGAGTAAAGGTTCAACAACCTTCCTCAAGCAGAGGTTCAGACTTGTGTGGTGCACAAGGAAGAAAAAAGAACAGTTGATTGCTCAAGCAAGGCGCAGTATAAAGCCACAGTAAACATTCTCCTCTGTCCACTTTGATTTCATTACTTGGTTGCAGGTGGTAAAAGACCACAAACTTACTTCCTCATCAGGCTGCAAACCCTTGAGAACGAAACAAGGTCAGGTAGAAGCTACTTGGCAGTTATTACCTAAAGATGGCTTCATGGTTCTAGATGGACTTTAATTTTCTTTTAACAACACTGCCTTTAATCGACTCTCATATACAGTATCGGAGATATATGTGTCATAAAAGGTTGCATAACTTGCAAAGCACCTTTCGCAAAGTTGAGACACCTGTGATTAAAATAATGTGCTGAATGGAAGTTACTGTAAATGTTTTTTTCCATAACACCTCATTAAATTTTGACTCATGAAATTCACAGAAACACAGCTGAGCTTACTGTTGCCAATGTGCTTAAATGCAAAGGGTAGGGCCTGCAGTGACGTAACTGATACTGTGACAAAGACTAATGAGGGATTGCTTAACTTTTGCCAGCTGTATTTTCGTCACAAAATGTCCAGGAGGTTACTCTAGGAGCAAGGAGTGGCAGGTCTGTTATATCTCTTCTTTAGTAATGTAGGCATGAGTGTGTGTGGGTGTGTGTAAAGGCATGTGTGCAACTCTCTGAGGAGAACAAAATATTCTCTGGATTACACTGCGCTGATCAGCCACCAGTCAGAGCTAAACAAAAGACTTGATAAACCAGATGATTAGTCATCTAAGCTTGTTGAAATGTGCGGCCGCATATCACTATTTTCATGTTTACATGGGGACTAGTGTTGGAAGTCAAGGGTGTGTGGGTAGATATTTGTTTCTTGAGGCTATATGATCTGCACAACTACAGAAAAAGAGACCTGCTAAGTCATTAATGTGAGAAAATGTGCAAATTATTTAGGTTTACACTCAAATACCGCACTGAAATTGAGAATTCCCATGCTACTGATTGCAAGTCAAACCAGTTTTTTTCCCAGGAGCTGGAGGCTAAGGAGTAATTATCCTACTCGAATCTTACAAAATAATTTTTAATGTTGTTTAACCTTTACTTTTGTTGAACATAATAGTAACAGTATTATTATAACCATTGTATTAATCATGTAGGCAATGTTTGCACCAATCTTTAAATGTAAAAAACGTATTGTCTTTCGACTTTGATGCTATAAAAAACATATAAGACAGAGAAAAGGGGAAAAGCAAGTGAAGCAAGGTAATAAACCAAACTCACACGGACGAATAAAAGTAAATATTTGAGACACGTTAACTAAATATGGTAAGATCAGATGTACGATATCAATACGAAAACCAACCTATGGTAATATAAATATTAATACAAAATGTGGAGTCTCATACATGTTTGGATGATGCTTTGTCGTTTTCTGGAAATACTGATCGGCCACAAATGCAAACCAAACTTTCCAAGGATACAGCAAAAACTTCTAATGGTTTCCTTTCGTACACTGAGACTATACTTGTAAACCATCATGCTTTATAACCTTTTACAGACAGCAGAGATGGTTCTGCCGCGTTCGCTTCCTCTCATTTGCTACCTGCAATTCAGTTACGCTGTGTCCAGAGTCTGATAATTACATTATCTGGAAACTTATACATAATTAAAGGGAAGTTACAATGCTAACTGACATGACTTGTTTCTTTCTATCTCCAAGCCAACAGCATTACGGCAAAGTCTCTTATGTAACTCAATCTGCAGTGTTCCTCCGCTGATAACAAATTGATGCCAAGATTAATTCCCTTATTTAGAAGGTAATTTATGGTTAACCCCCTCATATCCTCTCTGTATTTATGGTTAGAGGATGCTGATAAGAGGGGGGGGTATACAAATTCTGCTTTTATTGGCCTCAGTTTGAATTTGGGGTGCTCTTGGGGTTACTCAAATTTCCAGAACTCCAGATTTCAGGGAGGCATAAATCTCTCAAAGCTCACTATTTGGGAATGAAGAGGGAACAAAATCCACTCCCTGGATTCTTGCTGTGCATTCAGCTCAAACTCTTAGAATTTCTGGCAACGGCTCAGGAGGGGATGAGGAATCAAATGTCATATAAAGGGAAAGCCAGCAGCAGAAGTAGACAGTATGTGCAGTATTTGCTGGTATGTACTTATATTCTTATAAACACACTTTGTAGTTTGACATCAAATTCCCTGATATCCTGCTCTCTGTACAGGGGAAACGCTATCTTCCTTTGCGTGGGAGATGCATCAATCCCTTAGAGAAAACATCTTGGGGCCTCAGAAAAGGGGCCAGTAAGAAATAGAGGATACCCCCCCTCCCCATTTCCCTCCCTATCCTCAGTGAATGCATCAACACAAGTCCCTTTGACCTCACAGGAAGTTGGTCTTTGCAAAGGGTCAGTTTCAGACGGCTACCCCGCGATGCTGAACCAGATGGCAGCTGATTGTCGTCTCCACGGGAGGAGGACAGTCTAAATCCAACTTCATGTACAATTTTAGAAGAATAACTGAAGTGTTAGGAGGAAAGGGAAAAGGAGAGTATGGAGTGGTTTGTGGTTTTACTAAATGAGATGTAGATGTGGGACACAGGGTCCGTCTGTTGGTCAAACTGTGGCAAGGGGGGTGTTAAAGCTTCACACTTGATGTATGAACGTCACTGACCTTTTCCCTCACAAAGGGGACAAAACACCGGGGCGGCCAGCTGTAGAACACAAGCAAACGAAGCATCCCAGAGAATATGTCACATGTCCTGTAAACAGTTCAGCTTCTGCGACGATGCTCACTGCGCCTGCCTGAGTCTGAGCACAGTCACTGAAGTTAGGTCTGTTAAAACCTCAACAAAGTGACCAATAAAGAGCAAAAAGGCTAATGTTTACTCTCTCCTCCTGAAGAGCACTCTCCGACGGTCAGTGAGACACTCCAGATACCTGTGGCTGGGCCCATCACAATGTTTACTCCGCCTCAGCATGAGGAAACTGTGGATTTAGGTTCTGCACAAACACAGGAATACATCCATGTATACTCACACTCCTGCAAACTGCGATCAGCATTTCTTAGACCCTAAGGAACACAAATCAGTCCATTATAATGCCTCTTTTAAGAGCCTGATCCAGTGTTTACTTTTATATCAGTTATTCTCTTAAATTCTTAGTTTTATATTAATATAGAGCATGGTCGACTGATAATATAGAGTGTGTGCTGCTTACA